CCCCCCCCCCCCCCCCCCCCCCCCCCCCACAAAGACTCTCCTCGTGACAGCCCAGAGAATGAATGCTTTATTATGCATCGGGAAAATGTGTTTCGCTCCACGGCAGGCTGATTTCCGGCCCATTACGCCCGTATCGTCTTCCTGGGTCTTCTCATCTGATAGGGTTATCCTGCCAGGGTGGTGTGCTGCCAGGCGGGAACTGGCCAATGATCAGAAGGGGTCCTTTTCCTGAACACGTGAAAGGTGCGACTCAGGAGAGGAGTAGAGTAGGAGGCGGAGCGCCTGTCAAGCAGCAGTGGGCAAGCATGCCAGCTCAGTGGAGAATTTGACTGCTCTGGTTGTTGTTTTCAGAAAAAAAAAACGCTCCAGCCAAGACAGTTGCTTCCCTATAGCCAAATCTCAGAATTTAAAAAAATATATGAGTTTGAGATGATTCCATGTAAATTCTAGGTGTCTCCGACTGCCAGACTCTTACCAGTCATCCTCTGTAACGTAGCTTTTTACATTGTGTCATACGTTGGAAACACAATGCAGTGGATTGAGTCAGAGGTTGCTGGGTATAAATTACATTTGCGAGCGTAATTCAGTTATTCCCCCCCGTGTGAGCGTCCGTCCTTATTGACGAGACCTGGAGAACAACCGGGCCTTTCAGGTTTCTGATCGGGAAGTCTCGCGGCATTTTTCTGTCAGTGTGCTTCGCACGGGACGAATGACGATGAGGAGTCATTCCTGCTTCCTCGATCAGAAAGCTCGCAGCTTCCCGACTCCGCCGCTCTCAGCACTTCTATGGCGTCACGTCTGGGGAATCATTTTTTTTTGTCCTCCTGCTCGACACTGTGGGCTTTAGAAATAGTCTCTCCGTGCTACATTTGTCATCTCCCAAAATAGGACGAGCCGCTTCATCTCTGTCCAACTACAGCTGCATCCGCAGTTGTTTTGGTAGACGCGAAGCGGCTCGCCGGGTACCGTTCCTTTGAGACGTGGCGTGAAAAGTCTACAGCGGTGACCTCAACGCTTTACCTTTTTTGAATTAGGAGAATTGCGTCATGTGATGATGTCACACTCTGACAGTAGCCTTTTGTGGACTCTTATTCCAGTTCTCTCTGCATGGCCCTGCCTCTGACCCCGCTAACTGCGTTATGTTTCCTCCCGGAGCTCTAACAGTCTGCTCACGTCCACGCCGCTTGTGCTTTTGACGTGCTTGTCAATGCACGAATGTGACATAACACACGCGTAAGATAAAGCAGATAATAAGCAGCTCACGGTGAGATTGGGATTAAGACAGCTAATTGTCAATTATGCATACAATGTCATTATTGTGTTTGAGCCAGCAGACCAGATGTCTGATAACGTGGTCTGTTCAGATTCTCTCCCCGACTCTTTCTCTTTGTAGCAGTCAGATTTTACCAGGTGACCTCCACGCCTGACTGAACTCCAATAGTCTGCGAGGGGGGGGCGAAGCAGGAGAAGCAATAGAAAGGTACTTTCAGGTGTGTGGGGCAATCTTCTCATCTGTGTCCCGGACTCTAAGCGGTGTGTCCCCCCCCTCCTCCTCACGGTGTCCTGGTTTCCCTCACTTTGTAAGAACAGCTTAATCCGGAAAAGTGTTTTTGGTGGGGCGTGGGACGGCTGAACCCCATGTAAATAAAGAAGCGAGAGAACAGGGCAAGAAGGGAAGGTGTTAATATCCGAATGGCTCCGAGAATAAAGAAAGGGAAGAAAAAGAGGTGATTCAACCAAAGCAGTGAAGAAGTAAAGGCGGGAGCATGTGACGGGTCTAGCCATGCGGGCGACCGCAGCGACATTTTTAAACCAATTATCAAAGATTGTCATCAAGATTCAGACCTTCAGCTAGTCTCACTCCAGAGCTTAAAAAGCTCCGGCAGAACCTACGACAGCTTTTTAATATTTAGAGACTCCCTCTGGGCTTATTGCTTTTGCATTTTTTTCCTTAGGATGCCTTAGTGAACATGAACTCTATGCCCATGGCCTCCCCCTCCGCTCTTGTTTTAAAAGATGAGCTCGGCCGCATTCCTCAGCGTAATCCTCTCAAACTGGGCCACACCCTGGGCAGAGCAAACATGTGGAGGGGAATGCTCGCGGCGCAGCGGGAGTCGGTGTTCCCCCCCTAGGGTCGTTCACACGGACACAATGAGGCACTGACTTGGGCTTAACGCGGGGGGGGGGGGGGGGGGGGGGGGAGGGGG